TGTCCGTGTGTTTCTTTCCCTCCTGAGCTGTGTGCCCTACCCCCTGGGAGAAAGCATCGCACCGAGGATCTCCCGAGAAGGGTGCCGACGCCGATGGGCTGGTCCCCCAGGAGGCTCGTGACCAAAACTTCCCCAGCTGTGGCGGGTCGGCCTTCCCCCCGAAGGCGAGGGAAAGCGGAGGGGGGACGCTGGACCTGGGCGGTGCGCCAGCGGGCGCGGGAAACGAGATGGGCACGCCCGAGATGGGCACGGAAACACTGGCCCGCAGGCTCGAAGTTGGCACGAAGACTGGCACGCACGAAACTGTCCACCCTCGACAGCGGCTGCTGTTGCATGTCGGGCAGGCAATTCTCTGTCTCAGATGGACAGCGCCCGCGGCGACGCCGACAGCGAATCCTGCTGAAAATGGGCGGGGGCTGCTGGTCCGTCCTGAGAGCGTGTTGATATTTCGCGATCGCGGCCGTTACTGGCCCCGGCCGACCCCCTCCCCCCCCAGGATTCGCTCTGACCTTCGAACTGGCTTCGGTTATTCCTACAGACATTCCCAAAACCGCGCTGGCGCGAAACGTGACGTTGCCGGCCACCCGCCCCCCTTCCCCCACCCCGCCGGTGACGCCCATTATCGCCCAGGTGAAAAAAAAACACCGTTTTTCCGACCCCACTACCCATCGGCGTGGCCTTGGTCCCACTGACCGATTTACCCCTCTAGATAGGGGATGCAGGCTATCTCCTTCGGGTTAATCCCCAACGGGAGTGGTAAAATCGTGGGGCTCGGGATGGGGATGGGGATGAGGGTGGGTGAAACGATACTGGTCCTTCGCCTCCATCCTTCCCGTGCCCGTTTCGAGCATACCGAGCGGAAGAGACGTCGCGGCCCACGCCGGCGGAAAATCGTGGAGCGCTCGGGGGCTCGGCCGGCCGCCAGTCCCGCCGGGTGGGGAGGGCCCGCAAGGTGGGGGAACCCGGGGCTGAGGGACAAGGATTCCGCCGACCCCTTGGGGTCACGGCGTGTGAGATACTTCCCCCTCCCCAAACCCCGCCCCCGGGAGCCCGGTCCGGCCAGTTTGGAGGGAGGGGGTGGGGGGCGGGGGGCAAAGGTGTCATCAGGCCCCACGAAGCTCAAGAGGGCTCCAAGCAGCCCCACGACGGCACTAGAGGCCCCCAAGACGCCCAAAGGTCGGCCCAAGACGCCCAGGATAGCCCCAAGACGGCCCCAGAAGCCTCCCAGACGGCCCAGGAAGCCTCCAAGAGCATTTCCAAGAGGGGCCCCACAGGCCAAAATAGTCGAATTCCCATTGGAACACGAAAATTCTACCGTACACGACTTTTCGGCCTTCACGGCGTTGAAAACGGCCCCTGCATCCCCCAAGACCGCCCCAAAACGGCCCAAGAGGCTCCCAAGAGGCGCACGAAACGGCCCCCAAAGGGCGCCAGGACGGCCCAAGAGTCTCCCAAAACGGCCCAAGAGTGCCCCAAGACGGCCAAAAGAGGGGCAAAAGGGGGGGGAGCCTGAACCAACAATCCGACCCTTCCGCCCCAAGACGGCCCCAGAGGGGGCCCAAGAGGCGCCCAACAGGGCCCATGAGGCCCCCAAGAGGCCCCCCAAGAGGCACCAAAAGGCACCCAAGAGGCCCCGCAAGAGTCCCCAAGAGGCCCCCAAGAAGCTCAAAAGAAGCCCCAAGTACCACTTGAGGCATGTAACTTCAAACCCGCAACCCAGGCACCAAGGATCTCAGGCCGACAACCAAGGCACGGTGGCGGGATGGGCCGAAGCCCCCTCTGGGCCTTCAGGAAGCTCCTCGTCGACACAGCTGTGTCCACTCTCGAACTTCTGGCCGGACGCAACCCCAGCTGGGTCTCAACGATCCCCGAGCCTATCCAGGAGGTGTAAAAGGAGGCCTGGGACAGGCTCCGTGAAGGCCCCAAGAAACTCACATGAGATCACGAAGAGCTTCAAAACAATCCCCTACAAGGCCCCCCCTTGAACCCCACACGCTACGTAGGACAGGCCGAAATCCCAAGACTGCCCAGCGATCGCGAGCGTTCCGCGAATTCTGTTTTCACTCTTGCTGCCGCCCCAAGGGGTCGGCGGTGCGGCGTAAGCCAATGAATCAGGGCGGCGGCGGAGGAAGAGGAGAAGAGACGAGGGAGAGGACGAGGAGGAGGCGGAGGGTGGGGGGATGGGGAGGAGAAGGAGGAGGCAGCATGGAGGAGGGACGGAGGGATGGGGGTAGGGGTCGGGGCTTCTCCATCTTTCAGCCACTTGCCCCTCCCGCTGCAGCTCATCCTTCCCCCGTCTCCTCATCCTTACCCCTGCCCATCCTCTCTTGATGTGGCCACAGATTGGCCCCGACCCCTCTAAGTAAGAGGAGGTGAAGGAGTCATGAGAAAGAGGAGGAGCAGCAGCAGGGTGAACGAGGACTGGGAGGCGGGACGACGGAGGGGACGGATACACGAAGAAGGAAGAGGAGGGAGTAGGAAGATGAAAAAAGGCGGCTCTACCATTGCCCCCCTCCTCGTCCTCCTGCTCCTCCTCGTCCTCCTGGTCCTCCTGCTCTCCCAACGCTGTCCCTTATGAATAACTCCTCCCTGCCGCACAGCCAGACGTGTTGGTAGGGCGGGCCAGGCGCTTCGCTTAAAACTTGATCACATGGTATGCGATGCACACCAGGTTCAACGTGTTACTCTCGCCTGAACGCTGCGCACATTCGTCCTAATACTTTGTAGCAGCCTGACGGGTGGAGGGCGGGTCCCCATCGAAATGCGGCTCTCGCGTCCGCGCCGCGCACATTCGTCTTCATAACTCGAACCAGCTTCGCGGATGCAGGGCGGCTCGTTCTCAATGTGTGGTTCTCGCCCAAGCGTCGCGCAAATTCGTATACAGAGTTTGCAGCAGCTTCCAGGACGGAGCGCGGTTTCTTTTCAGAGTGCGGCTCCTGCCTTGGCGCCGCGCGCATTGTTTAGAGTTTGCAACAGTTTCAAGGAATCGAAGGGTTGGAGTCCCAGGAATGGCGTTCTGGACCAACGTAGGGTTGTTCGGACGCAACAGCCAATGCCAGCCAATGCAGGGCGTTCTGGCGCGATTTCGGACTGTCAGGGCGCAACAGTCACGCGGATTCGAAGCGCTGAAATCCCCAGACACGATTGAGGATTCTCACATGGTTGCCTTTCCATGGGGCACTTCCTGCAATGATTTGAAGTATTTAGGGAGGGCATGTTCCGACACCGCTGATGCGTCTTAGTTTACCACTGGTCCTCCTCCTCCTCCTCCTCCTCCTCCTCCTCCTCCTTCCCCTGCTGAACCCAGCATCGATGTCCACTCTCACAGGAGAATGGTCGGCCTCGCGGTCGGCACTCATTCGACGCGACGGGCGAGAGTGTGGGGCACGAGAGTACAGTGGAGGCCCGCCCACAAGAAACCTTCCACAAGAAACCCAACCCTGAGACCCAAGGACGTCCATTGCTTTTCGGCCTGGGGAAATCGCACTTTCCATGGCAAGAACCATCGAAAACCAAGAAGCCCAGGGCACCCTGGAGGCAAGCAGGGTGTTTCTTGGCATGGGCCCCCACTGTACGGGCCTCTCCGCACCTGGATGTGCTCAGTCAGCGCCCGTAAGTGAGTTGGCCAATTTGGAGCGTGTCACTCGTTTTTGTTCTCGCCCCACAATAGATGTCCCTGATGCTGAGACGGTGCTTCGCTTCTAGCATGCGTACGTTTGTGTATGCATCCAGCTGGTCCTCAAGCGTTTTTGAGGGGACAGATCGGCGATAACTTGCGAGGAACACTTCTTCTGATGTTACGACTGTGCACTTAAATTTCATCATAAATCATAATCAGTGAAGCAGCTGGCCGTGGCAGAGCGGAGGCAACTTGACAACAACTTAGTCGACCATTCGGACGTGGAAGCTGCAGCAGCATATCGCGTGCCCAGTGCTGAAGGGGCCAAGGTAGCAAAAGCTGAATGGCACACGGCTCTGGTGCGCAGATGATTGCTGCGCAGCTCTGGACGCGATGCGAGCCGAGGCCTTCTGAACCGAGAGCAGCAACATGAAGACGCAGACATGGGTTCCCCCATACGTCATACAGCAGGCTCGTGTCGTGTCGTTTTTTATGTTTGACATCGTGGGGATCGCTCAATCTTGAACGGTCGGCCGTTTCCAAAACGCCAGATCGTTCAACGTCGACCGATTCTGGGTCGCCTCACGCGTGTTGGCGATGCGGCAGGACTGTTTTTACGGACCACTGGTCAGCCGAACGGCAGGAGAACCCAGAATCGAATCGAGAAGTCGGATCGGCGATCGAAATGAATTGGATCGGCAGAATTCGGCAGCCGAGTCGAGAAAAGTCGAATCGACGGAAATCGGCAGGCCTATAGGCCTCCATTGAGAAATCAGAATCAAAAATCAGAATTCGGAGCCGAATCGAATCGGAATCGGAAGCCATCGAAATCGAATCGAATGGCATCGGGGAAGTCGAAATGAGCCCCGCCCCCATCGGGCGGGTTGATATGGGGGGTGACCTAAATGGGAGTGAAGAAAAGAGCCGTAAAGGGACACTTCAGGGACCCTGTTGGAGCCAGCGGAGGTCCAAAAGGGGCCCTTGAGGGCCCCTTTAGTGATCGCTGCATTCAGGTCGTCGTAGTGTAAAGGCATGGGATTGAGACGATGGCGTCGGATTTAGAAAATTCGGTTTGAATATAATAACCGTTTTTTTCTTGCGTTTACTCAAAGCTGTTCTGGGTCGACTTAATCCTGTAGCGCAATGTACAAAATCCATTCCTCGCTTCGATTCAGCATCGTGCTTCCCAACCAATGTTTACACACTGCGCATTCAATCACTACCGTTACCCGTGTAGTTCGATGATTTGGGGCCTTGTGTTTACCCCAAATCTAAATCACCCCCCATTACCACCCGCCCGACCCCACCCCGAGCCGCCCCTCAGGGGCGCGCTCCGGCGACGGCGGAATGCCGAGCGGCGGGGGGGACAGCGGTCGCGCGCTCAGCCGGGCTTCAGGAGCAGGCAGCCTGGCGAGACCCCGAGGGGCGGGGCTCCTCCGCCTCCTCCTCCCCCCCCTGGCAGGGAGGAGGCCCCCTCCCGGGTGTGCGCCGCCTCCTGACTATCGTCCTCCAGTCTCTCTCCTCCTCCTCCTCCTCCTCCCTCCCTCCCTCCCTCACTCACACACACACACACTCCGGCCCGCACTCACACACAAGCACTCGAGCAGGGGATCAACTTCCGGACGGCTTGCCGTCGAATCTAAGAACAACTCGATCGTATACACAGAAAACGCAAGCATATACGAAACATCGACTTAATCTTCGTAGACTCGACGGGCAATTCAATTTTGGGTATATCAGTTCTGTAGCCCATCCCCCCATGACTCGAACCCACTCCTCGCCGCACTCACACGCGAGCACCCGCTCACACCACTGCGGCAGTCGCACTGTACTGGCACACGGATGTCCGAAGCGTGTGCGCTCGCGCGTGCACGCACTGGTTCGTCCGACGCGCCGAAGAAGCCGAACGGCGGGCAGTGCACAGGGACGAAGACGGCAGAAAGGAGGCGCGGGGGCACGGCAAAGAGGAGAAGCGACGACGTGCGAGGAGCAGTCCCGCGTGCACGCACGGACGCACCCAGACTGACCAAGAAACCGCACCAGCCACGGGAGGTTTCACATTGCAGACTGGAGCACAAGCACCCTGCGGAGAATAGAAGAACAAACAACAGCATAAACATAAACTTTGGGAGCTCCGCGCGAATTTCTCGGATCCGCGCTGGAGCCCCCTCCCTGGCGCGCTTCGCCAGGGGCAGCGCCAGAGGCGCCGCCAGGAGGGCCCAGCGCGGATCCAAGCAATCCGCGCGGAGCGTCTTACAATCATGTTTACGCATTTGTTTCATTATTCGAGGGGGAGGAGACTCTGGTATACATGCTGTTGTCATGCCCCCACGTGCGATGGCACGGTGCAGAAGCACTCTCCGGCAAGAGCGCCTCGGGAGGTGCAGCGCAGGCTCTGCGTGGCCAGCGTGTTGCTACAATACCTCCACGCGGGCCCTCCTCCTCCTCCTCCGCCTCCTCCTCCTCCACAATCAACTTGCAACGGACATGTGCGACCCACATCTTCGCCGTGAGCTCATCATTGCCGTTCATGCCAGAGCTCGCTGGCAGCCATTGCCGAGTCATCTGATCACGTGCTCCTTAATGCTGAGGCCGCAGTCGGTCGCCACTGCCACTCCTTCTTCTGCCGTCTGCAAGCTGCACAAGGCCTTAGGAAGCAACGCCTGAGATGTCTTCGCAAGAAAGACTACGAACTATGACGCCCGATTAAGGGGCCATGAAGCCCGAATAATCCAGATTCAGCCCAAGACTAGACGGTAGTTGACAGAGCTATGCCCGATTAGGCTTGCTTGCGACCACAGATACGCAAGCGCCGATGCGGAATCTTGACCTCCCAGGACTTGCACCCTAAAATGACTACACCGTAGTGCGTTGCACTCACAGCCCTTCATGCTCTGTGGGCTCACAATTCTACCCAGCTGACCTCGAGCACAAAACGATGCTCGAAGCAAGCCGCAACTCCACCGCATGCCCTCGGAGCTCCAGTCGACCATCATGCCTGAAGACAACCTCCTGAGTCTTCCGAGGAGGGCATCGAGCAGAACGTCCCCCATCCCCTCACACGGAGTTCAAGAACGTGCTAGGGCCACCCAAACTGGCTCCCCCCTTTCTTCCTTACTTTCCACCCCTCACGCTCTCTCCTTCATGCCTCCTCCCTCCTCATCCCCCTCCTCTGTCATCCCTCCTTGCTCCCTCCTGGTCTAATGAGCTAGTGAATGGTAGTTGCTGGTGAGCACAGTGGGGCAGCAGGGTGGAATCGAGATCTGTGTTGTCGCACACGCCTGCTCAAGCACGCGGGGATTTACGGTTTATCGTACCCGCCCTCGGCACCCCTTTCAGCTGTACCTTTACCCTCCTCCTTCCGAGCCCGCGCCACCAGACAGGCTGGCTTGGCGATGTCGGGCGTTCGGCGTGCTCCGCATCGTGAGCGAGGTCGGGTTCTGGATCGGGAGCCTGGCCGAGACGTGGCGCAGTGTTCTCCTGGGACGGGCCCTGGGCATCGCGGAGGGCGCCTCGGCCCTCCATTGCGTGCCCCGGGGCTGCCGTCCGCGCCGTCCGGGCCCCTCCCTCGAGGCCGCGGAGGCATCGGCGGTGGACAAACCTCCCTTTAGTAGACCTCCCCTTAGTGAAAGCAGCCTGGGGCCGAAACCGACGGAACTGGACCCGCAAAATGACGGCCGCGACGCCCTCTCGCGAACCGAAAACGGCCAATTCCATAATCGACGTGTCTGAGTAGGAGGTTCACTCTCCGCCAATGTGGACAGATCTTTGGACTCTCGCTACTACCGGGGACTTCTTCGTGGAGGATTGCTCGACGAAAGATGACCTGACGAAGTCCTTGGGTACCAGTGGTTTGATGGAGAGAGCCGCTCGGGAGATCGAACCAGTGCAGTGCATATGCTGAGGGGGCCCTCCAGGAAGTCAAGCTGGTGTGGCACCCAGTTGGCTGGTGCAAGCAGCGACGTCAAACAGCAAGGCCGAGCACCGACGCAACGAGAGAGTGGCCGCCGAGGCTCGCAAGAAGGGCAAGGGAGACGGCAAATGCAAGGAGAGGGACCACTACGACAAGAAGACAGCGCCTGCCTCCTCGGGGGGCAGAAGGCGGCAGAGTGACGTTTGCCGGGGACCCCAACTGGAATGGTAGTATCTGGTTGGGGTGATGAGCGTGGCCGATGGGTCCGAAAGGCGGTGCTGAACGAGACCGAACGGCGGTGCTGAACGAGACCGACGGGCTGCGCGAACTGCCGAGAACGGTGCCTGGCGCCATGCTGTACCCGATCCCCCTGGTGGCGAAGCCGACCTCCTCTAAGAGCGAGTCCAGCCGAATCCGCCGGCGTTATTTCAAGAAGGTCGCCCTGTGGCGTTTGGCCAATGAGTAGATCTAGGCGCTGCACGCCATGTATAAGGAAGACTGCCGTATGCTCACCACGGACTGCCGAGACTCCGATCGTCTATTGAAGATGCAGTCCCATCACAATCGTGCCCATCGTCTAGCTCTACGAGAGGCGGCGAGGATCCGAGAGGCGCGCTGCGGCGACTGCCCGAGCTGGTGACAGATGCGGCCTTGTCCTACCCAGGTTCACGACAGACGGCTACTCATGAGAGTTTGCGTGCAGGTGACGTGGACGAGCCCTTGGCCCCCCGACGGGTTTGTGTGTTGGACGCCCTGAGCTCCAAGGAGGACTCCCTCTACGCTAGAGTACAATGTGGTTGCTCTACCTGAACCCAGAAGCCAAGTTATCTTCCAGGAGTTGAAGCAACGTTTTGGGTTCGTCGGGGGCCCCGAGGTGGAGTGTGCACGAAATTGTCTTCCAAAAGATATGGGCCCTAATCTATGGATGAACGGTCTTGGGGAGGAGGTCACGGCTACAGCGGATTTCTCTGAAGTGCCCAAGAAAGTCCCCAAGAAACAAAGAAAGATCCTCATCATGCTCTCGTCGTTCGCAAGAAAGAGGAGCACGGCCTCCACGGCGGGGCCGTACTTGCCAGCTTGCATGTGCCCGACGATTTCTTGAGCGCTGCCGCGTTCGACGAGAGTAACGCTTTCACCTCCTTGGAGGTTCCCGAATGGATGTGGGTGTGGCAAGCGGTCCCACCTGTTCGCGCCCGTTCAATCTTAGAAGGCGCCGGCCTTACATCCATAGATAAGGCACGCGCCTTCTAAGAAGCAGGGGTGCTTTCAAGAAGCCCTCCCCCCTCCCCCCACCTCCCTCTGCGCGTGGCTGAGAAGTGCCATAGGTCCCCCGAGATTCCCGTCGCTGGCGGCCCGGCGCCCGTAGACGGGGGAGTGAAGGTGATGAGGTGCGGGCTCATGGGGCTCTACGTTTGTGGATGCCATGACACTGGGCACTCTCTAACAATCCTGTCGTTGAATTAAAGATGTGCTTTACATGTTTTAGAAAAGTTCTACACATGATTAAAGCATGTGTATTTACATGCTTAAGACACGCTGAAAACATGCTTTAGACATCTGGGAATTACTTGGCAGCACGCTTCCTTTCCATTAATCGACTTCCGCAACTCTACGTGGACCTCGGGGCGCCCATCTCAAACGTGGTCTACGCCACGGACGCCGAGGGGTCCAACGGCCTCGGCTGCGGGGGATATGCGGCATCGTCGCCGCCGCCACGTCGGGCTAGAAGGCCAAGCTGCTATGGGAGTCGGGGACCAGGCCAGACTTCGCGCTGACCCGCTCGGGCCAGGAGAAGGTGAGCGTTTTTTGTTAGGCGTTTCGACATTGAGCGAAAGGGGGGGGGAGGGGTGGGGCTGGCTCCGGACCTCTGCTTAGTGCGACTGCTTGCAGCAGTGCGTCCATCATGAGGGAGCCTCCACCTGCTCGAAACAGGCACCAAAAACAAACAGCCAAGATCTACTCCATGAGGGGGGAGAGCGGGGTACGAGGGCCCGCGCCGATCGGCAAAACAATGAATAAGAGAGCGACGACAAGAGGGTCCTCGATAGGGCGTCTCGGTCCTTGATTCCAACTCTCCCGGTCAGCCCCATCCCGAAAGGGATCTGGAGTGTGAGCAGGTCCTGGGTCCCGATGTAGCCGCAGGAGGGTGGAGGTGGGAGGAGCATATCACCATCGGGGTGATGATGGCAGTCGTTCTGCTGATGGAGAGCGCTGTCCAGGTAGAGGGTTTCTTCCGTTCCACGATCATCCCCATGGAGGATAATATGCCGTGCTCGTAAGCCGTTGCCAAGGGGAGGTCATCTGCGGGCCCCCTCAACTACCTACCCCGCCGGCGATGTGCCCTCTGTGCTGCTGCGGACGTCTACTGCTGCCATGGGTCGAAACGTGGCGCATGCCCGCCGACTGGGCATCTAGAAGTAAGACATGACAGGAGGCTCTGGAGGGGCAGCTGGGGGACCCCATCGACCAGGTAGAGAAGCTTCGGATCGTCCAAATCTGACCGATGTGCATGAAGAGGGCCGAGTCACGGCCACCACCGTAGCTCGAAGTACAAGAAGGCGGTGGCTTGTGGTGTGCTAAAGAGGGGATGGAGCCCTGCCTTTACACCTGACGAGTTGGATGACGCTATCATGGATTTCAACATTTTCGGCGGCTTGGTTTCCTTGGGCAAGGGGGGTCCTGACAGAAACCAAGTTCACCATGCCCGTGGCTGCGATCCAGTTCCGATCCCCGCGTATAAAGGGGAGGCTGTGTCGTATGAAGGCGGCGCTGATCAGTAATGTATGTACCTGGATGTGTCCATTGTTGTGCTAGAGGCGAAACGCGTCTAGGTTTCGGTATCGTGCTCCAGGGACGTTTCGGGATGAGGCCCAGTGAGATGCTCGGCGTGGAGTCGGATGACATCACCCTCCCAAAGGACTGGGGCTATCCGAGGGGCTCGGGACCGGTCCTCATTGGTCTGGGGATCAGGGCCATGGCGAAAGCCAATCGCCCGCAGTCCGTGTCCTTCCAGGGGGAGGAAGCTCGGGGCCTCACCAAGGGTCTCGGTATGCTCCGCCGTACTGCTCCACCAGGTGCCCGCCTCTTCCCCAGGCCCCTGGCATCCTGCCGCCGCCTCATCAAGGACGTGCAGGCCGCGCACCACTTGGACGTCGGCTGGGGCCCCCAACAGAACAGGCTCCCCGTGCAGGTGCCGCTTCGGAGCCGCCCGCCCTGGGAGCCCCTTTTCGAGACCACCAGGGAGACGGGGAGGCGGAGGGTCGACAGCTCGCTGCGCATCTGCACCGATGTGGCTCAAGTCGGGGATGGACAGACCCCCCTTCAGTAAAACGTGGTTTGGTGAAAACGACCTGAGGCCAAAACCCTGGCGCGCGCAGGCCTGGAAAATGACGGCCACGGCGCCATCTCGAGAACAGAAAACGGACAATTCACTAGTCGACGTGCCACTGTTGGGGGTTCTGTCCACCCCCGATCAAGCGTCTGCATCTGGGCACGGCTCTGCGCGCGGCAGGCCTCCAGCCGGCCAGCCCCGGGAAGGCCGCCCGCCACTGGCACCCGGAGCTTCCGGCCGCCCTCGCTGGGGGAGGCGATCGACGCGCGGAGCGCGGCGAGGGCCCCCCGCGCGGCGAGGGCGCGGCCACGCCGCGGCATGGGCGGCGCGCCCGCGGCGTCTGGGAGGGGAGCCCGAGACGGGCTGGGACCTCGCGCCGAGCCCGGGGGCCTTGCCGGCGCACTCCCACGCTTCGTGGCCCCACAGGGGGGCTCCCGGTGGCGCAGTTCGCATGTGGGCGGCACACCCGTGCCGGCACACCCCTCCCACGCTTCGTGTCCTCATAGGGAGCCTCCCCGAGGCAGGCGCCGCAGGGCAGCGGCCCCGCCAGCCACGGGCGGGCCGGGCCAAGGGGCCGCCCCCCGCGCAGAGCCGTCGGCGCCGCCAGGGCCCGGGCGGCCGCGGCAGGCCGCCCTCCCGCCGCGGCCGCCGAGGCCGAAGCTCTTCGGGGCGGTCAGGGCTGCCAAGTCGCCTGGGCTCCGTCGGGGAGAGAGCCCCTGCCCTCTCGGCGGTTCGAAGATGGGGTCCTGAGGGATGGGGCCCCGAGAATAGGAGGGGACCCAGGGGGGGGATTTACTCTGTTTGAAGCCCCTCGTCCTCGGGGTCCCACCCTTTAGGGATGCTCATCAGCCTGCTGCCGTCGGCGCGTTTCCCCAACGCCGCGAGGGACCTAGTCGTGATGACGGACGTGGCCCAGGAGGTGGGCTCGAAGCAGGCACGATCGTGACAGCTGGAGCCGACGTCAGCACCAACGCCGCCCAAGATCGTGTCGGCAGTGACCGACGGCCCCATCCGAGTAGTCGAGGCGGCGTGGCGAGGAGCGGCTCTACTCTGGGCGTGGAAATCGCGGGCATCTCTGGCCAGGTTCTCGCCGAGAGCGAAGACAGCCGGGCAGACTTCCTCGCCGAGCCAGAGGTGCAGCACACGATGGGCTTGGAGCAGGAGGCTCTGAGCAAGCTCGAGCGCTTGCTGCCCCTTTGCTCGCCGAGCCGCCCTCGAGGCGAATTCACGCATCACAGCTTAGTCCAGCGCAGTTTTACCAGCTTGTGAGTTTGGGGGTCCGTTGGTTTCCCAGCAGCAATTGTTGGGATCGCCTGGGGGGTGGTCGCAGTGACCTTCCGCCCTCAGTGGGCGACGTCCCTTTGGGGGATCCTTGGCATCAACGAGTCAGCCGAGGCCCCGAGCATGACCGACCGGCTTCAGCAGCTAGCTCTTCAGACTTTCCCAGAGCCTGACCTCGACCTCGGCCCCGAGGCGCTCCAGGGCTCCCCTACCCTCCCTTCTGGCTTTTTATCTGAGGCTCTTTCGGCGCACCAGGGTGTGCGCTACGCGTGTGCTCAGGAGCCTGTGTTCCTTCTTTGTCCCCGCTGACGCAGCACAGATTTCTTTGGACCGCGGAGCGGAGGCGGGCGACAACA